GAAAAACCTGCACAGGAAGCACATATGCTGATGACCTGTGAGTATTATGTATTGATCATTAATATCCCCATTCAAAAGTATTTACAGTTTTGTAGAATTTCTAGAGATCTAAACTTAATTTTGTGTCCTTTTCCTATCTGACACTTTGAGCTTGGTTGCTTTTCACGTCTCCTGTGTTTATGAGATTTAAATAATTCACAACACTAATCAGTTTCCAGCTGCACCTTGCTCAACACAGCAACAGCATCGCCAACTGGAAAAGTCTGTGAACACTTGGAAAAAAAACAGATGATCTGCCACGGATGCCCTGCATTCTCTTCTAAGTTTTGTATTTGAATGTTTCACAGCTAAGTCATGCAAGCCAAAGTTTTCCACAGTTTAAAGGCTCAAAGTTCCTTGACAAGAAGCCTTTCACTATTCCCAGAATTTGAGATCAGACTGAACTCTTTGCAAAACTTACCCATTCTCTTTGTCAGCAACTGAAAGCTTTAAGCGTGTCCAGTCGGGTTCATAGTTACAGCTCGTAGTACTTCTCAGCACACTCTCCGTGTGTGTCTTCGCTTTCATTCACGCTGACTTAGTCTCTGTCTTCCTTCTCGGTGCCCAGCTGGACCAACCGCCTCTGAAGCCTGCTGCAGTAAGACTGCTCAGAGTGTAAACGTGACTGGCCTTAAAGGTTTTTCTTGAGGAGAACAAACCCACATCCCACTGTCAGTCAAGCAGCTGAGCATAGTTTCAGCTGGGCTGCCATCCAAACAGACATGAAACTAGTCTATTTTGGTCTGCCATATGAGCAGTGGTGCTTTTCAGAGACAGGAGGTGGGGATGCAGGAGGGGGATTCTGTGGTGGAGCATGTAATTGCAGAGTGACCAGTTATGGTGGGATGTAATTGCAGACCTCATCAGATATAGCGAAACTGCCAACAAGACAAGGTAAAGGACTTTAAAATAAGGCTCTTGGAAAAAAAAGAAGAGAGAAACACAACAGACCACATAAATAAATGAGGAGCTGGGTTCCAGATGTGGCAGCACAGGGAGGGAGGGGAGGAGAAGTACAAGGGGGAGAAAGAAAGCACGGCAGTTGAAGGAACTGCCATTGCAGCAGAAAGAAATCTCATTTCTGACAGAGTGAAAGGGTGTTTACCTCCTCAGGAACAGTCGCACAAGACGGAATGGGGGGATTGGGGAAGGTGAAAGGATGTTGGGCCCACCCTTATGTTGTTTCTGGACCTTTACCATGAGTACTCATGGGTGTCTGGTTTCACGTCAGCCTTGGAAATGACTACCTTATGGAAAAACTCGGGGCTTTAAAAATGAGGAAGGAAAATGAAAATATAAACGGCGGTCGGCTGGTTCCCATTACAACCGAGACTCAGCTGGTCTGGGTTGCTGCCGCTAGTGTTGCTACGTACTCTTGAGTGAATAATTATTATGTGACTTTATGAAGCGGGTCCCACTACACACGCACTCCCATGCACACAACACAGGCCTGTTATACTTTAGGGTGTTGATAAATATTAGCTTTAGTTGAAATCTGAACACAAACGCCTTATTTCCTCCGAAATCTTACCTCATTTCCTGGCAAAACCAACAGGAGAGTCAAAAGCAGACCGAGAGTCACATTGCCATGTGTGAAGGTAATCCTCAGCCAGACACAGTTTAATAGTTTGTAAATATAGTCAATATCACATCAGAGCCATTATTTTAAACTTCCTTAATTTTCTTCTGCAATATGTAGTGAATACTTTTGATGTTATGATGCTATTGCTACATAAGTGCAGGAAATCACATTAATATATATAAAAAGACAACAATGATCATACTAAAAAAAGAATTCAATGTGACAAAAAATAAACAGTAAGTTAGGAAATATTTAGCTTGGCATCAAGCATACTGATGCATAGGTTGCTGTATTTTTTTGATGATGAAGAAGGATTACTGTAAATGTCATAAACAGGATCTCAAACACACGTCCATTTAGTTTGAGAGTGAAAATATGTGAATTTCTAGTCCTGGACAGCTTTTATTGAGTTTGTTGAGTTTAAATGACTGGCCAAAGACGGCTTTGTTTGTGTATTGGATTTTTGAGTAGATAAGTCAATATAATATTTCTGGAACAAGCAGTTTACATGCTTCACCAAATACTACAGGTAAACTGTTGAAAATGTCTCATTGTATGTCTTATTTGGTGAACACTGTGGATATAGATTAAAACAATATCAAGAAAATGAGCACGCAAAGAGAGCAAACCTCTATCAAGGCAGCTCACTCTCTTGGCAATACTTTTCACTGAACAGTGTTGTGTTTTCTTTATATTTTGGGGGTTTTTTTTGTTCTTTTTAAATATTGCGAAGTTTGTGATGCAGTCAGAAAATGTGTGTCTTTTGTTATTTGCCTTGTTGAAACTCATTTTAAAATACTTCACATAATTTTGAGTACAATCTTTTTGTTTTGTTATTATTTCACTAGCTGGGACCACATCCTTGGTAACGATGGGCGATGACGGATGAGGAAATGTGAACTGGTGCTGCGGTTTGGGTAAGGCCTCAAAGGGGACCGGCGACGGCTCCCGGGCCGGGCAGATCCCCATGTACTAACGAGAAGTGAATGAAGGAAAGGAAGAGAGGAGAAGAGAGGGAAAATGGGGGGGAAGGGTGGGGCATGAAAATGAGAACAGCAGGTATTGGTGAAGGGGGGCCTGAGGCCGGAGGGGGCATGAAGGAGGAGTGGTCCCGCTCCTGAAATTCAGACGGTATCTCCACTTGTATGTGGGAGAGGTCAAAGGTCAAATTTAATATGATTTTTTTTTTTATTCTTATACAGTACTTTCTATATGTTGACGGTACACGGGAATCATAGTTTCTCATTTCTTAGACTTTTTGTCAATTTTTTAACCGATAAATCATCAAGCTGACCTCGAAGACCTTGGTTCGATGTAAGGCAAATTATGATGAACTGTTAACATGACCCCACTCTGCACTCTCACTCTGCACCCGTACTTAGTTTTCATTCAAAACTTTGTAAGATATCATGTTTACAGAGAGAATCCTACCAAAAACCTTGGCGGAGGAAATATAGTTCTGCCAGGCAGCTACATTTTTCTGGTGGCTTGTATGTGCTGACAAAGTTTTATTAAACATTGTTAAGAAATAACAAGGATTAAAAGTTACGTGGAAATACGACTCATTTTCCACAAATTTCAAACTATTCCAATAAATCGTTCTAGGGAAGCATCGTCCAAAACCCCAGGTTTGGAAATTGGATTGTGGTGTAGATTTCTGGGAACTGGACGAGCAGTGCATCTTCTCTTTGGAGTAGAGGGCCAAATGATTGGTTTTCTTATATGAACTGTCTAATTTCCAATTGCAAGGGCCCCATTAAAAAGCAGCTGCATACCATTATGACTGTTATTCTCATTGGCATAGTGAGATTGTGAGATTATTGCTGAGAAAAAAGCCCCAAAACCAAACCCACAAATCAACCCTCAACCTGTCACCATCCCTCAATTATCAGAATCTAGGGTTTATTCTTTTCCTTATCTGTCATGCAGGAAAAGTGTCCATGTGGATTCCAGCATGGATTTAGCAGCGATTTCCTCAGGCATATAAGCAGACAGATACTGAGAGCAAGAGAGAATAAGTGGAAAGACTGTAAAAACAACTGACAGACGAGGGTTTGAAGGCTCGAGAAGGATTGAAGCACAAATCTCCTTTTCTGTTTATACTCCCATAGCATAAGTTCACATATTAGTCAGACATATCCTGTCATCGGGGAAATAATAAGTCATCCAGTTGAGCGACTAGAATCAAGACCAAACATTTATTTCTCTAAATGTCTGCAGCGCTGATCTAGCGTGTCTGATGTTGATCGGTTGCCATTTTTCCACGTGGATTCAATGTAATTCATAGAAACTAGTTACGATGTTTGACAAAAGTACATTGGCTTCCATGGTACTGACAACTCTTGCGTGCACGATGCACTCAAATATCTTGCATTTGCTCTGGTGCACACTTGGCATTCATCCGTGCAGCCAAATAGGATCAACCATATCCTGTTTTTCACTTTCACCCTTATTGAACGGGCTCATTATCCCCTCAGTTTCCCGACTTGCAATCCCGTATGTGCTATCCAAAACTAAGGGGCCTTTATTTATCCCTCCTTCAAGTATTTGTTTTTAGTTCTGTCTGTGATTTTGCTTGGAAAGCCTTCACATCAAATGGTTTGAAACTACTGGCAGTACACTCAAAGCGTGCTATTCCTGGGAAAATACAACATAAAATGGTAATAATGTATTTGTATGATATTTATCTTTTCCAGGTTGTGCAATTAATGTGATTAAATATTTGATTTCCTGTTACATAATTTTCCAAATACAGCTAGAGTCTCTTTTTTGTTGCTTACTAATGATGTGCACTTTTCTTTGAGCCTTTTATTTATGTATTTTTTGAGTTTGTACTTTTCTCAGTCTTACAAATGACCACTCAAGAATTAAATAATCTTCGATTTACTCTAGGATTATATGTTTCTCTTCATCATAGACCTACGTGAGAGTTCAGCAGGTTTTTTATCTTCGTAACAAAACAAGCAGGAGTTCAAACACAAAACCCATACAATCATTTTATTACTTGTGCCTTTCACTCTTTTTTAGGCTCAGATATTCTTCCTCATTTGTTTAATTGTTTGGGAAAATGAAAGAGAAAATAGCTTATGACTATGACTATTTCAGTGTTTCCATCATTTGAGGCAGATCTGTGAGACTCACTGAAACTTTGGTAATTATGTTGCCATCTATTGGAGTTCTGCTGCAAAAACAAGTGAGCCCCAAAATGTTCAATCACGCAGCCATTAATGTTTCACAATTAAAAACAAACCTTGTGTGCAAAGGTGCAAGTGAATCTCTTACATGCTATTTATGGCCAAGACTTGGCTTCTGTGTGCTGAAATAAGTGGTGAACATTTACCTTCACTGGAGCTAAAGAACAACTCTGACTGCAGGTTTGACTGTATTTTATTAAGCAATTCCCCATGCACTGTTTTTTTTTTCTTGTATCAACATGTATTGTAACATATCCATGCCACTGTGGTGTCATCAGAAATATTTCCAATGAAACTGATGTGTTCACACATTCATCTGTGCAACAGGAGTGTGTATGACTGTGCATTCCATTTTTCCCCCAATACTTCGCCAAATTATAAACGTGTGCTACATGTTTTCACGACGTGATTGTGCATTCGTCAGTGGGAAATAGTGTTAGATTTCTAATCAGCAACTTACAAAGAGCTCTCTGCCTGTGAGATTCCATCATTCGTAATTTGTGGACAGTATTTATCAGTATTAATAATACAAATATAAACTTCTCCTTATATAATCAACTTCACAGTCACTCAGCGTCCTTCTACACTTGCTTAAAAACTTTTGAAGAACAACACAAGTACCCCATACCCGAGTGTATCTAAAATACATTTTAATCTTGCTGAAACTTGTTTTCACAATATTGTTTACAATATTAATTGGTCTTCATTTTCTGCATCCTCGCTCGGGTCTTCTTTATTGTCTCTAAACAGAAACTGTACAATCATGTTCATGTAAATTGTTCTACATCAAGGCACAAGACAACAGCCGTTGTGGGGGGGGCCTTGGGTATGCTGATCTTTAATGGCGTCCCTCTGGCACACAGGAAAAAAGGATACCCTCGGGAGGGAAGGGAAATATAAGCAATGTAGAAGTATGTATCTTAAATCGGGAGGTGAGGGAGTGGGGAGTGGGTCTGGGGTTGGGCTGGCATGGAAGAAATGTGCTCTGACGAGGTGATAAGCGGAAAAGAATAAAGTGATACCACTGCTGCTTTCATTTTATTTTCCAATGATACGGAAATATAAAAAAGAGGAATGATTAGGACTTTTTTTTCTTTCTTCAGGAGTTCATTTGTTCATGTACATAAAGTAAAGTGCCTTTTTTTTTTCTTTTTTTTTTCTTATTTGCCAAAAGCAAAAGGCTTCACTAACAGGATGAAAATTAGGAGATGTCCCGTGGGGTCTTTTTTTTTTCCCTGTTCCTGGAGGAATGTGAAAGAGTGGATAAAGGGCCAGTTCAGTGTTAATTTTCTGGTCAATTTTGTTTTTCTTGATTTATCTTCTCAGGTTATTTCTGATGTTTTCTCGTCAGGTTCTCAACCCCTGAAAGACAGAAATGAACGAGACAGAAAAAAGAAAAAGGATGTAAATTTAAGCTGGCTGTTTGCGTCCGCGTGTAAGTTGGACAGTCGGAAATTTTTATCAATTTGTGAAATCAAAAAAAAATAAAAATGTTGTTGTAAGTCTGAAATTCTTGAAACCAAAGGAAATCTATAAAGAAAGTCATGATTGAAAAGGTGTTATTCACCATTTCCCAGATGGGAATGCTCACATCTGGATGCTTCTCCTCCGCCTGCCGAAAGCCTTGGCGCCGACATTGGTGGGGACGAAGTTGCTGTTACCCATTCCCCCCGACCGGCTGAGGAAGTCCGCCAGACGGTGAGTCACGCAGGTTGCCGTGTTGCAGCCTCGCTTCTGTGCTGTAACGCTGCTTCAGGAGAACAGAAAGGGGCTTAACGAAAAGATTGGGCCACTGCCATCCATACAATAATGTAAGACACAGCTATACACATTAACACTAACATCAAAGAACTGAAAGTACATCAAGTTTGGATTTACAGCTTAAAAACAGAATGCATCTGAGTGTTTGTCTTACCTTTGGACTCGGTGACAGCTTCAGACAAAATTTTAAAGGCTCTAAAACTCTTATTTAGGCCCATCATTTAAAATGGCCATTGACTGTCTGCATGGGTGGCTACATGTTTGTTTTAGAGTCCCTAAGAATGAAAATGACCTAAGCCTTCCTGGTAGAAAAATACGTTTATTGAACAACAAACATGGTGTCGCATGAGTGGATCATTTATTAACGTTTAGATTAAGTGATCGCTCTCAACTCTTGAGTTTCAGGGGCTTTGAAATGCCATCAAATTACTCCACATACAGTACACAGAGATGGATGTATGAATTGGCTCCTGAATTACACTTGTGAAAATCGTCTGAGATTACAGGGACAAATCATTCTCTGCCAAAAGAAATATGGGGGGGAGAAAAAGAACTGAAAAACTGCAGTTCAAAGTCATAATCTTCATGTCAATCAAGCAGGTAATATCAGCATGCACGTCCCATTCCAGAAAGAAACTGGGATGAGGAGAGGAAGATGACAGAAGAGAAGGACGGGGGAAAGAATGACAAAGGAAGAGGAGATGCGGGAAAAGTAAAAGCGGGTTTAATGGATGAGGAGGAAGGGGTTTAGATGCTTTCAAACGTCTCGCCGTAGCTTGCATAGCTGTCGCTCTCAGGCGCACTGCGCTTCTTGCCGGGCGTTCCTGCTCCCACGTTCGTGCGAGGGAAAGTCTGCAACTTGTGCAGCTCCTGAGACAGTTTACCCAACACACAGGTGCTGAGGTTGGAGCAGCGCTTGGTTAAGGGCCTGTCCATGCTGTCGAGGAGGGGACACACAAAACACATGCATAGAACAGGCTCATAGATACGGGGAAAACATGCGCTCTGTATCTCTTAAGCTTTTTTTCTCTCTTTCCATTCACGCATCATTTCACTCACATGCATTTCTTTCTCATGCCATTGCAGGTATAAACAAAGTAAAAACATCCCAGGTCCTTACAGCATCATGCCACTCCCCCTGCCCTTCCCAACATTCAAAAACTTGTCATCCATCCCCTCATGCATCAGAACCTCCACCCCCACCCCAGTCAGCCTTTTACCCATAGAACAAACAGAAACCAGTTGCTTCCCACTGTCATGCAGCTCCACTTAATTGACATCATGCACACTTATTTGTTTTGTTAAGCATACAATGTTCACATGCCCGGCAGGCTGGTTCAAAATAGTAGTCTATCCACGCAAGTCAAAATCAAATGCATCCATGCGGGGGCAGGCTCATGACAGAGAATCGGGTTTCATTTTTTGGGCTTTTTTTGGAGTCACATGTTAAAACTAAGATGTTATTCTTTGATCTGCCGAGAAGTACATACCTCCTGGCCTGACTGAACCCAAGTGGGGAACTAAAGAAATTTATTTCCAGCACATTAAAGTAAAAACAGGATTTTTTTCCCAATAACATCCCTAAAAAATAGCTTTTTTAAATTTTACCTTTTTATTTAGTCCAAAACCAGTTTCACTTTCCAGTTTCTCATTAGTCAAATCCTTGGCTGGTGGTTTCTGTGCAGGGTGGAAATGTTAAACTAATTTTCAAAGGTTAAACTAAATAAGATTCATCTGTACCTGTTTCCCTCAGTTGCCTGCTGCTCCAGCTCCTCCGCCGTCATCTGCACAAACTCCTTCACAATGGCGTTGAGTAACCTTCGCGCTTCGTAGTCCGTGAGCGTGACTCGGTCTGACATGGACTCTAAACCCGGTCTGTGGTTAGAAGTGGAGTGGGGGGGAATTTAGGGGTCAGAGTGGTTGAGGGGAGGGAAACGGCAATGAGATCAGCATTAATGGAAATGCTCCGCTAGGGTTACACCTGCAGTGAAAAAGGAGGGGTGGTGGGTTGAGTGGGGATGTTGGGGTGGGGTAAGGGACTGGTGGGGGCTGGGGGGGTAACAGAGACGTCACCACCTCCGTGAGGAATGACGTCTGAGTCGGAGGGCCCCTGGCCAAAGCTGGGGGAAACAATCTGCAGAAAGTGCCCCTTGTGAGAAAGAAGCTGATGTATAACCAGCTTTAGAGTTATTACAAAATCAATAGCTTCATTGGAAAGGGGGGGCAGGAGGGGGAACTTGAGTGGGGACTCAAATTAATATATATATCTCTCTCTATATATAGAAAGATATATGCATATATAGAGATAAAAACTGAATTACATTTGTTGTGTTTCCTGTGCTTTTAATTTAAGTACAACTTTATCCACTTATATTGGAAGTATTACAAGCAATACATATATTTAAATAATATATGTATTTCATTTAAAGCTACCATAGATTAAGACTAAACAGAACAACTACAATGTTCTTTTCTGCATACACACATTTATTTAACCTATGTTGTTACTATGGCGTTACTATACAACTTTCACATCTTACTCTATTTCTCCTGTTTAATAAAAAACATTTTATGTTTAAGTAAAAAAAAAAAATTTAACCTGCAGAGTCCAAGTTCCAACATACTGTTTTTGCATAAACCCTGCCCATCTTTTCTACTGGTTGTTTGCGGTAAGTCTGTTGAGTTGCAGAGAAAAAGCAGCTTAACAGTGAGAAGTGTAAAAGGCAATTTCCGTGTGTCTCACCTGGCAGGCGCGGCTTGTGAGCAGTACATCTGGCAAATGACCAGGGTGTACGCAACGAGGAAAGCAGAGATCTTCAACATAACCATGGTCCCCTACACGGCAAGAAAAAAAAAAAACTCCACATCAGCTTCTTGTGCTTCCATTCACACTCACACACCACTGATACAAGAGCTCAAATCTCCTAAAAGTATAGCTACAAACCAGCATGCAACTAGAAACTGCCCTTGTCTAGTCTTCTTGTGTTGTCAGGAAGAAGGTGCAAAAAGTGTCATTCCCTGTGAGGCGAGCTTTAGTTCGCCTTACATCTGAGCTTACTGCTCTCAGCTCTTGTCCCCTGCTGAACAATGCTCCCCTGGCTCACACGCGCCTCCAAAACGGACCGTTCCTCCAAAATATCCAGCTGAGAGCAAAGAACAGGTAGTTCTCTCATGTCGTATGCTGCTGCTCCTGGTGTGTGCCATGCCTGTGTGGAGTGTATGCATGCATGTGTGTGTGTGTGCGTGTGTGTGTGTGTGTGTG